ATTGACGACGGAATTGAGATATTGAAAAGGTTACAACGGCATTAATTGTGGTTTTTTTTTGTAAATTTGTTCAAATTTGTTGTGGAAAGAAAAAATGTGTAGCTCTCGTTATTTAAGAAAAAAATGGTATGTAGTGCTAACTGACACCATACACCTAGTCGATAGAATTGAGATATCCAATATGTTACTATGCCATTAATTGTAGCTTTAAACTTTAAAGTTTGTTGTGAAAAGAAAAAATTTGTAGCTTTCGTTTTTCTGGAAAAAATTGAGTTGACCCTTTTTCGAACAAAATTTAGTATGTAGTGCTAACTTGACACCATGCACCATTGACGACAGAATTGAGATATTGAAAACGTTACAACGGCATTAATTGTAGCTTTTTTGTTGTAAATTTGTTGTGGAAAGAAAAAATTTGTAGCTTTCGTTTTTTAAGAAAAAATGGTATGTAGTGCTAACTTGACACCATACACCTAGTCGATAGAATTGAGATATTGAAAATGTTATAACGGCATTAATTGTAGCTTTTAGCTTTAAAATTTGTTGTGGAAAGAAAAAATTTGTAGCTCTCGTTTTTTAAGAAAAAATTTTTGTGGCATATTTTATTAAAAAAAAAAATATTGTAAGCTGCACGCAACAATTTGAATTCATTAAATTTGAAAACTCACAACTGCCTCCACCGCGATTTGAACTTGCGACCAGTGTTGGTTGAGTCCGAGGTCTTCTCGCTGAGCTACTTTCGTATTGACGTGTGTCAAGTTAGCAAGTTAGTTAACTTGACACCATACACCTAGTCCATAGAATTGGGATATCCAATATGTTACTATGCCATTAATTGTAGCTTTTAACTTTAAAATTTGTTGTGAAAAGAAAAAATTTGTAGCTTTCGTTTTTCTGGAAAAAATTGAGTATACCCTTTTTCGAAAAAAATTTAGTATGTAGTGCTAACTTGGCACCATGCGCTATTACCGACAGAATTGAGATATTTAAAATGTTACAACGGAATTAATTGTAGCTGTTTTGTTGTAAATTTGTTGTAGAAAGAAAAAAATTGTAACTTTAGTTTTTTAAGAAAAAATGGTGTGTAGCGCTAGCTTGACACCATACACCTAGTCGATAGAATTGAGATAGTGAAAATGTTATAACGGCATTAATTTTAGCTTTTAACTTTAAAATTTGTTGTGAAAAGAAAAAATTTGTAGCTTTCGTTTTTCTGGAAAAAATTGAGTTAAAACAAAATTTAGTATGTAGTAGAGGTATACGCCGCCAGGTCACGCCGCCGCCGCGGTTTTTTGTCATTTCTCACGCGCCGCCGCCGAGTTACGAAAATATCGGCGCGACGGTGGCGGCGGCGTTCGGCGCCTAAGGAATTTTGTACAAAATTTTCATGTTGTATGCACATTGAAATACATAGTTTGAAGGAAATACTATTTAAATCGTATAAAAGCACTATTTTACGAAATGAAAATTACATTTTTAAAAGAAGTTTTTTTGCATAATTTGGGCCACTGAACATTTCAAAAAAAAGCGTAACTCAGAAAAAAACATAGGTAACACGTTTTTCGATCGAAAGCGTTTATTACAGTTAAATTAGGGTCGAATACTGGTAATGTGACGATTTTTTCCGAAGTATAAAATTTTTTTCAATACTACAACAATACTACTTTTTTATATACTACATCAACAAGAAAGTTATACACATCAAAAACTTTAACGCCAATATCTCAGAAAGCAGTTTTAACAGAAGCGCTCTTATTGCATCTAACTCCTCAATTATTGAAGATAATACAAAGACTAGTTGATTTTCCTGTGTGTTTTTCAAATATTTTAAACAGAATTTTAATAAAAAGCAAACACTTTTTTTTGCTAATTTTTACATTCGTAAGTTACTTTATTCTTAGGTCCCACAGACGTATACAAGAACTAGGTGGCTGTGTGAAAATTATGTTAGTATTCCCAAGTAGTGGTCAAACCCCAGGAAGGTTTTGCTCCCGCGCATCGCAATATTTTCTACACAGAGTTAAAGTCCCCCTTTTTGGTAAAAATTAATATTATTTTGANTTACGAAATGAAAATTACATTTTTAAAAGAAGTTTTTTTGCATAATTTGGGCCACTGAACATGTCAAAAAAAAGCGTAACTCAGAAAAAAACATAGGTAACACGTTTTTCGATCGAAAGCGTTTATTACAGTTAAATTAGGGTCGAATACTGGTAATGTGACGATTTTTTCCGAAGTATAAAATTTTTTTCAATACTACAACAATACTACTTTTTTATATACTACATCAACAAGAAAGTTATACACATCAAAAACTTTAACGCCAATATCTCAGAAAGCAGTTTTAACAGAAGCGCTCTTATTGCATCTAACTCCTCAATTATTGAAGATAATACAAAGACTAGTTGATTTTCCTGTGTGTTTTTCAAATATTTTAAACAGAATTTTAATAAAAAGCAAACACTTTTTTTTGCTAATTTTTACATTCGTAAGTTACTTTATTCTTAGGTCCCACAGACGTATACAAGAACTAGGTGGCTGTGTGAAAATTATGTTAGTATNCCCCCTTTTTGGTAAAAATTACTATTATTTTGCATTACATTCTGTTCTCCTTAGAAAAATTTGGCACTTAATATATTATTGGAAATTTAACTATTTATAAGCCATTTTTCAAACAGTGGGTCAAAAAGGCCCGTTCTGGTGGGAGTTGATGGTTTAAACTTTTGGAAAAATGTAGGCCAACCCTATTTTCAATATATAACCCGCAAAAAAAATCGTGAGAACTCCGTCATTTAACGTAACGGTTGATAAGCTTATTGCAAAAATTTATTTATTGATAGCGACATAAATTACCCCAATAACTTAACCTTTAATTTTTTTTATTTCTTTAAATTGAAATAGTACATTCGGATTTCTAGAGTACATAGAGATGAACGTATATTAGGGTGCCCATCGAAAATCGTTTTTTTGTACGTTAGTACTACATATTTTCAAATTGTGGAAATTATCGATGGTCAAAATTTATAAAATTCTTTGAAATGCAAGCAGAAATAGTCATTCAAAACTCATGATTCTAGAAAATCGTATTTTCTGGCCTAAATCGACAGGCCACGACCTCTAAATGGCCTTTAAAAATCTATAATAATAGGCAATAATATTTCTCATAAAAACGAATCAAATTAGGGGGTAGGGTCTTTAAATTTTCAAAAAACGCATTTTCGATGGGAAACCTAATGTATATACTATATAGACTTTCTTCTGTTCGCCCATCCATCAGCAGCAGTCACTCAACATTTGAATTCAATGAATGAATTAAATAGAATTATAATCTGATGACATAAGATTAGAAGCCTCATGGCTCTTTGGAATCTACCTTTGGGCAGTAGCGCCGGCGTTTGCAGACGCGCCGGCGTCGCCGCCGATTCTTTTTGAAGTTGACCACGCCGCCGCCGCAAAGCCTGTCGGCGTAAACCTCTAGTATGTAGTGCGAACTTAACACCATACACCTAGTCTATAGAATTGAGATATTGAAAATGATATAACGGCATTAATTGTAGTTTTTGTTGTAAATTTGTCGTGGAAAGAAAAAATTTGTAGCTCTCGTTTTTAAGAAAAAATGGTATGTAGTGCTAACTTGACACCATACACCTAGTCGATAGAATTAAGATATTGAAAATGTTATAACGGCATTAATTGTAGCTTTTTTGTTGTGGGAAAAAAATTTGTAGCTGGTGTCGATAGTATCGATAGTTTTCCAGCTCTACAAAACAAAGTCCCGATTACGTCTGCATGAAGTGAAGTTCTGATCGAAATCCCGCAAAAGAGTTAACTACAAGATGGTTATTTTTATCAATTGATAACTTTTCACTGCAGGCTCCATACAAATGTGTTTACAATAAGATTTTGATTGCAGTGGAAGTGACTTAAATAATAAAAAAAATACTTCGCATGAAATTTGAGACAATCTGGTGGAGGTTTATCGAGCAGCAGAATGATTTGAAAGAACCTTCG